TGTGTGACAATTCCTTAGGTAGACATGGAGAGAATTCTTGAATTAGACTGGGAACTGGATTGGTGATTTCGTAAGTTTCCTTTAATTCTGAAATTGTACTTCATTCTTGCATGCCTATCTCTGATTCCTAATCATGCTATTTAGTTTGGTGTTTATTGCTGTTCTACTGTGGGTAATACAGAGAATCTTGTTTTGAAGATAAAATATATGGTTTAAGTTGTCATACCATTACCAGTTAAATGACAGAGAAAAATTAGAGCTTTCTAAATCTTAACTGTCTTCATGTATACAATAAGGAGTTTATCGAACACTTACATAGCACTTATTTGTGCCAGGTCCTAGACTATGCACTCTATACATATTAACTCACTTAATCCTCTCTTAACAACCCAGTGAGTTAGGCACTGTTTTGATGCCTATGTTTTAGTTGTGGAAACCAAGAAGTCTTACCCAAGGTCACACATGGTGTTAGTCCAACCCCTGCAGTCTGTCTACAGAGTCCATCATCTGAACTTACAATGCATAGGACAATTTTGTCACATAATGGATGTTCAGGGGTTTATCTGTGCTCATCTTTGTTCATGCCTCTTCATATTCTTCTTTTTTAAGACTAAAGGATATTAGGCAACATGAAGAAAATGTTTATTGTTTAGTTGTTATTGCTATTATAAATTGTACAATTATATCTTTTTACAATTAAAATTTCCAATACATTATTGCTGGTGTGTAGAAACACAGCTTACTATAAAAAAAAACATTTTGAAATAATTTTATTACTTTTTAAAAGACTATTTATTTGAGAGAGCGAGAGAGAGAGAAAGCATAAGCTGGGGGAAGAGCGGCGGGAGAGGGAGAAGCAGACTCCCCACTGAGCAGGGAACCTGATGCAGGACTCGATCCCAAGACCCTGAGATCACGACCTAAGCCAAAGGCAGATGCTTAACTGACTGAGCCACCCAGGTGCCCCAGCCTTGACAGTTTTAAGGAGTACTTGTCAGGTACCTTGTAGAATGTCCCTCAATTCGGGTTTGTCTGATGTTTTTCTCATGATTAGATTGGGGCTATGAGTTTTGGGGAGAAGACCACAGAGGTGAACTGCCCTTACTGCCTCATATTAGAGAGCACATGATACCAACATAACCTATTACTGGGGAAGTTAACCTTGATCACTTGTTTAAGATGGTGTCTGCTAGGTTTCTCCACTGGGAAGTTAAAGAGTTTTCATCCTCTGTTCTAATCATATTCTTTTATTTATTTATTTTATTTATTTTTTTAGAGAGAGAGAGAGTGTGTGTGTGTGTGCGCGCACATGTGAGGGGGGAGGGGCGGAGGGGGGGGAGAGAGAGAGAGAGAGAGAGAGAGAGAATCTTAAGCAGACTCCACCCCCAGCACAGAGCCCAACATGGGGCTTGATCTCATGACCCTGAGATCATGATCTGAGCTGAAATCAAGAGTGGGACGCTTAACCGACTGAGCCACCTAGGCGCCCCACGTCATATTCTTTTAAATCAAAATTAATCAGCAAGTATTTGAGTGTTATATATAAGGGCCCACAGTAGGCCCTGAAGGAGATAAGTGGAATTCTCGAGCATAGGAGGGAATCAATATTTGCTATAAAATTTGTAGTTCATTGGGAGTCTATAATGGTTGTTATTCTTGATGGTGGTGGTGGCGGCAAAGCAAAGGAGCAAGTGAGATTTAAGACGGGCAAGAAATGTACATGGCAGTTGCATTCCTATTACTCAATCCACCTTGCCTTCAAAATCCATTCATTTACTCAACAGATATTTAAGTGCCCACTGTGTGCCAGGTACTATTTTAGGTGCTAGGGACATGGCAGTGAATAAAGACACACACAGTTCCCCTCCCTCATTACCTTAGAGTTTAGTGGAGAGACAAACAAATGAGTGAAACCCCTGATATGTTAGATAGTGATAAGTGCTAGGAGAAAAATAAAAGAGCTTGTATCTATGGGTGGAGTGGGTTTGGGACTGGTTTGTAATTTCCATAGTGTGTGCTAAAGGAAGGCTGCAGCTAGAAGGTGACATTTAAGTCCAGACCTACAGAATGTGCTCTTCTGGGGAGGGCATCCATGGGTGTTCAGAATGATCCAGCATTTGACATACCATCGCAGGCTGTCCTACAATACAGCTTCTAACAAAACTAGACTGTCCAGAACCCCTGATAATAGAATTGTTTACCTTTATACCAACAAGGTTGGGAAAGCACCAAAATCTCCATGTAGCCTATGCCCAGGCTGACTTCGAGGAGTTCATGCTGTGAGACCTAAAGTCCTTATGAGGTTGTCTAAAACAGAAAAACATGTCAGCAGGGCCTATGGTGCTTCCATGTATGCTAAGTGTGTTCAAGACAGGATCAAGCATGCTTTCCTTACCAAGGAGCAGCAAATCGTTGTGGAAGTGTTGAAAGCACAAGCACTGAGTCAGAAAGCTAAAAAAAGAAAAAAAGGAGCCGTTTTTGAGTAATAAAACAATAACAACAACAACAGCAAAAGACCTGCAGAATGCGAGGCAGTGAGCCATCTGGATACCAGGGCTAAGAGCAATCCAGGCAGGGGGAATGGCAAATGCAAAGGCCCTGAGGTGGAATGCCTGATGTGTTCAAGGAACAGTGAGAAGAAGCCTGGTGTGAATGAGGGAGAGTAGTAGGAGATGAGGTTTGAGGGTCCAGAAAGTGTCGGGAGCAGAATGTGCAGAGTTTTATAGGTCAAGGAAAGGACTTCAGTTTTTACCCTGCACAAGTTAGGAAGCCATCTGAAGAATTTTAACCAAAGGAGTGATTTATCTAACCTTGGCAACTGGGTTGAGAATAGAGTAGTGGCAAAGGTGGAAATAGAAGATTAGGAGAAAACAGCAATGGTAGTTTGAACTGGGGTAGCAGCTGTGAAGTGGTAGGAAGGAGTCAGATTCTGGGTTAAGAACTCAAGATTGAGAGCAAGGTAAAAAGAGATGAAAGAAAACCTCTGTGATTTACAATAGCAAAATGGATTTTCCTCATTAAAAAAATATCACTTTACAATAACAACCTTAAATAACCCGCTTTAAAACTGGGCAAAGGGGGGAGCCTAAGTGGCGTAGTCAGTTAAGTGTCCAACTCTTGGTTTTGGCTGGGGTCATGATCTCAGCACTGTGAGACAGAACCTTGTGTTGGGTTCTGCGCTCAGTACTCAGCATGGACTCTGCTTGAGATTCTCTCTCCCTCTCTCTCTGCCCCTCCTGCTCATGAGCTCTCTCTCTCTCTCAAACAAATCTTTTTTTAAAAATGGGTAAAGGAATTAAATAGACAGTTCCCCAAAGAAGATATATAAATGGACAACAGGCATGTGAGAAGATGCTCAACATCACTAATCACTAGGGAAATGCACATTGAAACCACAGTGAGATACCACCTAACATCCAATAGGATGGCTAATATCAAAAATACAGAAGATAGCAGGTGTTGGTGAAGATGGGGAGAAATTGGAACCCTCTCGTGCATTGCTGGTGGGAATGCAAAATGGTGCAGTCATTGTGGAAAACAGCATGGTGGTTCCTCAAAATATTAAAAATAGAATTACTATATGATCCAGCAATTCCACTTCTGGGTACATACCTATCCAGAAAAATTGAAAGTACAAATTGAGTTGGTTTTCCCCATAGTACTATGAATTAAAAAGCTGTTTAACAAATGATAGGTTCATAGAAAATTTCTAGTTTTGTGGTCTATTTTCTCAAATAATAGGAAATGAACTTTCAATGAAAGGTACATGGGGACCTTGGGCACACTGTTTACTTTTCACGGGACTGAGGTGCAGGTGGAAAAGGGCAATTTCAGAATGAATTTCTACCTAAGCTATTAATCTACAATAACTAAAAAGAGATAATTTATCTCCTACACGGACTTTCAAATTAAATTTAAAAGAAATTCAGGCATTGAAAAATATGCACAAAATTTTTTGGTATTATACTGAAACTAATCAACATTTAAATTATTTTCTCTCGCGCGTGAATAAACTGAGTGTTAGGGGGAAACTGTCACTCCTCTCCCACCAAATTTATACAAAATTCAGCACCCAACCGTAAAGCGACATGTGCCCCTTTATTAGCAGATTATGGACCAACCTACACGTTGCAATTTGTAAACAAACTTTTATCTAGGCATCATAGATCAACACAATTGTGCACTTTAAAATGAGGTTAACAAGGCATTTAAAAAACAACCCAGGGTGATTGCTACTGCCTGAGCTATCACCGATTGCGTAAACATTGCTATCTAGTTGAAAATTTATGGACGAGACCGGATATTTTCTGCAACGATTTAATAACTGAACATGATGCCGCTACTGCAGCTGTCCCCTGGCAGTTGAACTCTTCCCTGATTTTTTTAACTGTTGCTTTTGAACAGAGGGATGTTTACTATTTCAGGGCAATCGTGAGGTAAAACAAAAAGAATTCATACACTCGTGGCTAATACGAGAGGAAGACGATGACCTTCCGCATCTGTGGCGTGGAAGAAGGAAGAGAAAAAGACAAGCACTTTTTGAGTTCTTGCCTTGCTCTTGCTGATTTGATGCACAAACCCCGTCAAGGTAGACGGCTTGACAAAGTAGGGATAAAGGAGAGCTGCACTTCTTTCTGGGGCTGCCGCAAACGGTACGCAATTTTGTGTCGTCAATTGGCTTTTGGCCCGACCCAGTCCCAGTTCAGTTTCGTCCTTCGTTTGTTAGCTGGTTTCACCTGGCCGCCTTTAACGAGGGTCGGGAAAGGCAAGGACCGTCACTCGGTGGCCGCAGGCGGCCACGGGACGTCGGAGTTCTCCCGACTGGGCAAGCCCCGCCGGCCCTCAGGCAGGTCCCCGCACTCTGCGCTCACTCCCCGAGCCCCGCCCGCCCCGCCGGGGGGGCGGGGCTGGCCGGGAGCTGCCCTCTTCCAACATGGCGCCGTGGGAGGCGGGTCCCTCTCGCCGGCTCCCGGGGTTCCGGTGCCGTGCGTTTTGGTTCCGGAGTAACAGTGCCCTCGCCGCGCCTTCCTCCTCCTCCTGCCGGCGCCGCTGCCGCCGCAGCCGGAACGTTCGGCCTGGGGCGGCTGGGGTTGAGCCCGTGCGCGCCGCGCCCTCTCACTCGGGGTGGGGAACACGACTGGCTCCCCGACCCTCCCGCGGAAGGCCCTCCTCAGCTTTCGCGTGGTCTGGAGGCCCCGGGGCTCCTTCCAAACAGCCCCCGACTGAGTCCCGTCCAGTCGGGGACCCTCCACTCTCCACTAAGGAGGAGTGGACACCTGCCGCTCTGCCTCCCTAAAACGAGGTCGTCTCCTCACACCCACGCAGACGGCAGAGAGCTTCACGATCCCCTTTCGCCCAGTTTTCCAATTCCAGAACCTCTGACCTCCGCTAGTTCCTACCGGCCCCTTCCTCCTGCCCCGTCCACGCTCACGGGGAGGCAGCCGCGACCCCATACAGCCTGGGTCTGGCTCGGTGCCTGCGGGCTCCTTCCAGACCACCCCTCCTCTCTTTACTGCCCCCCCCCCAGCCTCCTCCGCTCGGTCCCCTTGTCACCTCTTGGAGCCCTCTCTTAACCAGGATCCAGTGGGTACCTCCTACCCCAGGATGTGAGTCCCTGTAACCTGTAATGCTGTGGCTGGCCCTTGGCCCCTTCCATGCCATGGAGAGCCAGGTGCTGGTGATTCGTATCAAGATTCCAAATAGTGGCGCGGTGGACTGGACAGTGCACTCCGGGCCGCAGTTACTCTTCAGGGATGTGCTGGTGAGTGGTAATCTGAGTCTTCAAATCCCATTGAGGAGGGCTCAGGGATTTGTGGGGTAGTCAGCGCCTTATCCACTGAATCTGAGCCTGGTGGCCCGAGCTAGTGGCGGTGGCCATTGCTGGCCTCCTGTGAGGGCAGTTTTATTGCTTCAACGACGGCATTGATTAATTGCATGTACTGAAATCTGGCAATTGTGCAGGGCCTTGGGGAAATAGAGATGAATCAGATTGAACCCCTGCTCTCAAGGAGCTCACAGCCTGGACCGGGACGTACACACAGAAGCAACCAACTGGATGCAAAAAGCTGAGTCTAGAAGTTTCTTCCTCAAGTGTTTCTCAGAATGTCCCTGGCCAGATTCCAGCCATGCCTTTCTACCGAGTTCCCTGAACTTGTTGACTCCTGGAGAAAGGGAAACTAAGCAGCTTGAATTTGCCATGTTTCAGCAAACCTAAGGTGTCATTTTTTTAAAGACACTATTTTATGTACCACTCAGAAAGAAAAAAATACTGCCCGTTAAACTGTGACCTGCTGCACATTATACAAAAGTAGCCCAATTTCAGAGATGCTAGTGTTGAGGGAAAGGGTACATCTTGGAATCAATGCTGTGTCATTACTCTCAGGATACTCAGAACATATTTCAAATAAAGTCATGGGATGTGAGAGCAGAGTGTAACCGTGGCGGTGGCCTGTTGAGACCTCTTACCTTTTTTGAGATAGTTACTGAGGAGCAGTGGGGCGGAATGGCTTTTCCAAAACTGTGTTGCTCCTGAGTGGGAGAGTCAGTACCAGAACTCAGATTTCCTTACTTAGTAATTTTTCCCCACATGCTGCACTGCCACTTCTCATCTTTTAGCACACGTTTGAGATAGCCAGAGTGCATTGTGCCCATTTTATATATTGAATGATTGAGGTATGAAAAGCAGAACTGACATACCCAGAAGCATGTTGCAGGTACCAAATCTATGGTGCATCTTACCTGCAAGATAAGATGGGTGGAGCAGAGGTTCTTGGGAGGAGGGAGATCTCTGATGTAATTTTTTTTGGTAGTCCTAGGTGACTCAATCAAAATTTGATTCCTGTACCTACATTTTGAATTCTGGATTTTACTGACCACTCAGAACATAAGAGATTTTCAGGTGTCTGGGCCAGGAGTCCTGAAGCTGGAGTGAGCCAGCAGCTTCTGATCTTGTACACCAAATGTTGCCCTTCCCTTTACATATGGAGTTCACACACTCACATACATACAGATTTCCTTCCTCATGACAAGGCCCAAACTTTTTAGCACGGTCCTCTAGGCCCACGTGGATTGGCTTGTGCTTACCTGGCACCAGCTCCATCTCTCACCACACCCCTGGGAGCACCATGTGCTCCAGGTACATAGAACTAACCTTGAGTTCTTCCAGGCTGTCTCCACTCAGCCCCTTTCTTCAGCTGGCCAACTCCTACCTGCCGTTCAGAGCCCAGCTTCACTTTTCCTCTACCTTAATCTTGGTTATGTGCCCATCCTCTGTGTTCCCACAGCTTTGCTCCAGCAAAGGTCACAGGTTTTGTCACAGTTTTGTCTGTCTGTCTCTTCCACTAAAATGGTAAACTTCTGGAGGAGATGGACTTTTCTGTCTCCCCTCTGTTTCTGGAGCTCCATAGCATCCCAAAATTTTTTTTTTTTTAAGATTTTATTTATTTATTTGACAGAGACAGACACAGCAAGAGAGGGAACACAATCAGGGGGAGTGGGAGAGGGAGAAGCAGGCCTCCCGCCAAGCAGAGAGCCCGATGTGGGGCTCGATCCCAGGACCCTGGGACCACGACCCGAGCCGAAGGCAGATGCCTAACGACTGAGCCACCCAGGTGCCCCCCAAAATATTTGTTCAAATATTTCAAAGGGAGCTTCAAAGAAGATGCATGCAATTATGGTTTTGTGGACCAGGCTACTGGGTTTTGAATCTAGAAACATGGATTTAATTGCAAGCATTCCCACTAACTAGGCAAGTCACTCTGCCTCTTTTAGCCTTAGTTTCCTTACTTGTAAAATAGGGACTGTACCTGTTTTCAAGACTTGCGAAGATTAAGTGGGATCATGCCTGTGATGAGAAAGATGTGAGCTTTCTTTCACTTTGCTCATTTGAAATAACAGAATTATTTAAAATAGAATGGTGCAGGGGCACCTGGGTGGCTCAGTCAGTTAAGCGTTTGCCTTCGGCTCAGGTCATGATCCCAGGGTCCTGAGATTGAGCCCCACATCGGGTTCCCTGCTCAGTGGGGAGCCTGCTTTTCCCTCTCCCCTGCCCCTGCTCATGCTCTCTCTCACTCTGTCTCTCTCAAATAAATAAATAAACTCTTTAAAAAAAAAATAGAATGGTGCAATGTTTAAAAACACAAACTCTGAGCCAGACTCCCTGGGTTTAAATTGCAAGCCTTACCAGATTCACTTTGGGCAAGTGTCTTCTGTGTCTCAGTTCTTCATCTGTAAAAAAAAAAAAAAAAAAAAGTGGAGGGTGAGAGATAAAAATAGTGCCCACCTGATAGAGTATGAGGACTACTGGAGTTGATATACATAAAGCATTTAGAACAATCTGGAATGTAGTAAGTGCTTTATAAGTATTGTTGTTATAACATAAGGGACAAGGCCTGGGTCTTCTGCTTCTCAAGCATCTCTCAATGGTTCCTTGGCTCCAGGCTGACTGACCTTAAAGTAAACTTTGCACAAATGGTCCCACCATCTAGAACTCAGAGTGCCATGTGTCTTCTCACGTGCGCACGCACAGGTAAGCCCAGGTGGAGCATGCTTTGTCAGGAAGGCCTGATGAAGGGCTCTTAGCAATGGGTGCTGTGCTATCTCTTATGCTCCTCATAGCAGGCTCTATGAACTGCATGCCCAAATCCTGGTGGACACCTATGATCTCTTCTCTAGGGTCACCTCATCTTTTCATCAAGAAATTGGCAAAAAACCACAGATACATCAGCGTCTTTGGCTTAGAGCCTTAAAATTTAAAGCCCAGTGAAATCTGGAAGCATCCCCTTCATCTAACATCACTTCACCCCAGTTTTCAAATGAGGGAGCATAACCCCAGAGGGGGAAAATGCTGAAGCCACACAGCTCATTTTGGGCCACACCAGAAACAGAAGCCAGAAGCAGTTTGTTGTCACTGAGTCATCTGTACCTGAGCATGTTTTGGATGTGGGGTTGCAGTTGAGGGCTCTTGTCACAGCTCCATCAAATGGCTGGGAGACCCTTGAGAAGTCACTCGGCCTCTCTGGGTCTTTGTCCTGCATCTGAATAATTAGAGACTGGCTGGTCTCCAAGGGCAGAGACATTTGGTGATCTGCTTTTCAGCTTTATTTTCTGTGTTCTGTTCCTTGTAGACACAGCCCCCAGTTTTGGGAAGATTGTGCAGGAGATCTCAACTAGTCAGTAGGAGGAGAGAATGTTCCTCTTATTCTTCTTGCTATTTCAATCCTGTCTCCCAAGTCCCAGCTCAGATTTCCCCTCATCTTTGAAATTTTTGTCTAAACTGAGCCTTTGATTTTTTCCTGCCTCCTGAGTTAGCAAATACTTATTTGCTATTTATGTCTTTTGTTTGGCTCTTATAATACTATAAGTGCTCTATTTTGTTACTCTTTTAGGTTTGTCTTTATCTCTGTGACCAGACTAGCATCTTTCTAAATCTTATTCTTCTATAGCCTACCGCTTTGTGATCTTTATGCTCCTGGCCTGTTGAGATGCTTAATTATACTTTTGGCCCACCATATAGTTGATGGATTTATTAAAAGCACAGAGAAGAAAAGGATCAAGAAATGATCACCATTAAGATATTTAAATTTAAGTTTTCTTTTGAAACCTTCTTTAGGTAAATGTTATGTTGAGAATAAGACAGGTGTTTTTTTGGGGGGGGAAATAAGTCGCTTAAAATATAACTGGAAAATATACATAAAATTATTAAATGTGCCCTGCTTAGAAATAACCAGTAGGTATTAACTAATTTTGAAGCTTTTTAGCCCTTTGGCATTATGATAAGCCCCACTTTATTTGCTTTAACAAAATAAGATAGTTGGTTGTGTTCACATGATTCTCGTGATTCTCTCAAGCAAGTTTGCTTTTTCTTTCTCCTTTTCCCCACATTAGGTGTAAAACCTATGTGGTTCCTTGATTATGTTGTTGTGCAAAGGATGCCATTGCTGCCAAGCGAGGTTTTCAGTTAGTTATTAGAAATTTGCGGCTTGATGGGTTCTGCTATTCATAAATAGGAAGGATCCTAAATTAGGTTGCGATTACTATAGAGTTCACATCTCAAGATTGAGGTGGTCAGAGTTCCCTTGAAGTAACCAGAGGTAACCTCAACTTGGAGGGTTGGGGGTGGAGTCCCCCGGCTTGTTTTTAACTACACACCCAGCTAGAAAAGGTCCTCAGTAAATGCTATGGAAGGATGACGTAGGTGAATGAATGACCATCCACCGATCCTTGGGTGCTGAAATTTAGGGTTTCATTGTGAGGTAAGCTTTGTGACGTTCCAGTCATCAGTGACTTGTTTTATTTAACAGACACTCATGTGGCGCTTACCACATGCTAGACACTCTTCTACGCACTTTACAAATATGAACTCATTTAGTCCTATGAGGTAGGTACAGTTTCAATCTCATTTTACACAGAAGGAAACTGAGGCGCAGAGAGACTCAGTCACTCAGCTACTGAATGGCAGAGCCAAGGTCCAGCCTGAGCAGTTCGGCCCTAGTCCACATAGTCAGGCGTTACACTAGCTGCCTGTATAGTATATTCCATACTCGCTCTACAGTTTCCATTTACCTGGCAATAAATACTTTCTGCCTGTAAGTGTGTAGAATTTCTTTAACACTAAAATTTTTCAGAAATACTTCCTCAGAGTTGATGTCTCATTTGCTAAGACTAGAATCAGAAGGAAAAAATCACCTCCTTTGACTCTAATGAGCGAGGGCTGCCTCAGATAGCTCTCTTTGATCAATTTTATGTGCACAGATTTATTTTTCAGGAAAAAAAAAAGGCACTGTAGAGGCAAGGCTATTATGCAAATTTCCACTGCAGCAAAAGCTTCTAAAGAACTGCCTTTGGAAGGAAGTTGCAGCCGCCACTCTGCTAAGTGCCCCGTTTGGAAGGGCTGTGGGCTCCCTGCTGAGAACTACTGCAAGCCGCTTTGTCAGCTGGCTGCCTGGTGCCAGTTCCTGGCAGAGCCCAGGAGGAACGTTGTGGCAGAGCTCCCCGAGAGAACAGTGAGGTTTGCAGACCATTTGGGTTAAGCTGGACATGATGGAGGGTCACTTTTCCCAGAACTGGCTATTTCTTGAAGATGTTCCATGCCTCTCTAACTAAGCTGTCTCTGTAGACTGATTTTCAAGATTGCAACCTTATGGGTTCATTTAAACATGGATATCAGATTATATACCTTAAACAAAAATCTTTTGTAGGCTAGATTAACTCTGTTCCAGTGTCATTAAATGTATGTTTTGCAGTTGCTTAAGAGTAAAGGTTGATAAAAATTGTATCAAATATAGTGCTATAGGTTAATATCATCATTGGAATAATATATCATGGAAACTTGTTTTTTTTTTAACTCTCTGCACTATGAATACAAGGCAAGATGTTGCTAGTTACATATCAGAAACTACATTTGTTGTCTACAGTGTGCTAGGCTAACTTCTGTTTATTATTTAATTGCATTATCTCTGTGAGTATTACTAGACCCATATTGGAGGATAATCAAATAGAGGCTCAGAGAGGTTAAGTAATTTGTTTGCAGTCACACAGCTAGTAAGTAGAGAGCTGAGATTCAAACCCAGCCTAGTCTGACTCCTAAACACCTTTCTATTGGTAGTATATTCCACAGCCTTCCATAGAACAAACTGTGTGTGTTTTTTAAATACACAAACAGTGTGTATACGCTGTTGAATCAAGAGTGAAAGATTATGGTATTAATACAGACTAGATTTGGTAAAGAACCCCCCCCCCACCCCGGTCCCCAAATAGAGATTTAAACTCCGGGCTTACATTGCTGGGCTAAGTGTGATTATGAGCTAATGTTTTTATAGTTTATGCCAACATTTCAAAAATCTTTTTCAGGTTCTCATATTTCCTCTAGGATTTGCCACATGTTAGCAATAAAGAAGATGGCTAATTGTGTTTATTCTTTCTTTGTTTAGGATGTGATAGGCCAGGTTCTGCCTGAAGCAACAACCACAGCGTTTGAATGTAAGTCTGGCTTGTATACTTTCTTGACTATTCCTTTCTGCAGTAATTTTTCAAAGGGTTTATGGGTTGCATTACTTTAGAAACTGACAAAAACAGATTATTTATGATCATCATATGGTACATTTAAATATTTATAAATTAATGCAAGTTTAATGATGATACTGAACTGAGTAATATTTTCTTATTTAATCATATCTTGGGTGTGCATATTTCTATAATATAGCTTTAATTACCAACATGACCTTTATCTGCTCTTGCTCCTCACTGTAATAATATTGTGGGACAAAATGAAACCTGTAAACTACCTGTAGGCCAGTGATTATTGATTAAGAGATTGTAATCCATTGCTGCTTTAAAACAGTAACAGAGTAGAACTTTTAAGTGAGCATTGCATGGAATAATTCTGTTTTAGTGGGGCTTGGTGTGGCTGGTACATGATGACAGTAGCCCTTCAGGTCTTGAGACCTTCCTCCTTACCTCCCCCCCGTCCCCCCCCCCCCCGCAGTTGGCTTGGGCATTGGGAGGGGCAGGATGGACTAGAAAACCAGTTTTGACATGAGCCAGGTCATTGCAGGGGATGTTAGGGTTTAGGAATGTTAAGATGAGGGTTTAGTTCATAGAAAGGGGCTCTGGTGTTGAGAAAGATAGAGTAGGATTTTTAGTTGTGGTTCCTGTCTTTTCTTTTGAAGGTGAGGGCCATTTTTTGCTGAGAAAATGTACGATTTCTCCACATTATAGTTTATTTGTTGTTCTTGGTTTTTAAGCAGATGGTTAATGACAGTGAGTACAGTGTCCTCTCTTTTATTTATGTTCTCTTTGGAGGATAATTTGACAATACCTATTAACCAAAATATAAAATGTGCAAAACCTTTGATTCAGCAGCTTCACATCTAGGAAGCTGTTCAACAAAGATACCTGCCCATGTGTTGAATGCCCTTCAAACAAAATATTCATTGTGGAATTATTTTTAATAGGAGAAAATTAGAGGAAAGCTAAATGCCTAGGATAGTGGATTCATAAGTTATCCATTATCTGAAGCAGCAGCCAATTGAACAACAGCTAAAAAGAATGGGTTAGGATTTTATGCATCGGCATGGGAAGATTTCCATGATACATTGTTGAATAAACAAATAGTGTATGGTATGACCCCGCTTGGTAAAATAGCTAATCCCTGTGCCTCCCTGCTTTGTGTCTGTATTGAGAGACAAGGATGTGACGAGTGCCCACCACAGTGCCTTACAGTGGTTCCCCCTGGAAAGTGGACTTCAGGGTTAGAATGGGGAATGGTTGGCTAAATGAGCACACTTTTTCCTTTCTCTCTTTCTCATTATTTGAATATTTTCAACAATCATTCCATGTATTTAAAAGTCACTTGCATAGAACTCTTAAAATAGTATTTTATTAACCACACTGGAGTCTGTGTACTATTGAAAAATGGTACATGTGTCTGAAGTACATATTAGTGTTGCAAGCTCTTCAGTCCCTTTTTGGGAAGTCTCTGGTGGCACCAAGGGTTTCGTGGACAGGCCGATTGTAAATATCTGTCATTGTTGCCAGGTGCTGTGCTGAGAACATTCCATGGTTATCTCGTTTAATTTAACCTTTGCAAGATCCCCGTGAAGTACTTCAAAGGATTGTTTTGTTTTTGTTTTTATTTTTTAAAATTAAATTAAATTTTATTTAAATCAATTAATTAACATATAGTGTCTTATTGGTTTCAGAGGTAGAGGTCAGTGATTCATCAGTTGTAGATAACACCCAGTGCTCATTCTGTCACGTGCCTCCTTAATGCCCATGACCCAGTTAGCCCATCCCCTCACCCCCCTCCCCTCCAGCAACCCTCAGTCTGTTTCCTATGATTTAGTGTCTCTTACGGTTATTAGCTCCATTTTAGTTGAGGAAAGGACATCTCCTCTGAGCAGCTTGCTCAGAGTCTAGTGAGTGGTGAAGTGGACTTTCTCATGTAGACTCCAGAGCATGTATACATTCTCAGCCACTTTTGACACTTGTTCTGCAAGTTGTAATCATTCTTGAAGTCACTTATTCTGATTGTTCATAAATGTAGCAGAAAAGAAGCTTACTTTATACGTCCTACTTCTTGCCCTCTGGGTCCCACAAAGTGGCTTGATGTACCTGTGCCCCACTGGCTTCCAGAGTTAGGGTTCATAGTAATAACATCAGTTATTCTAGCTGTCACTTATTGATGGCTTGCTCTTTGCCTGTCAGTGGACTCAATGATTTACCTAGATTGTTGCTGATCTTTACAAAAACTCTGTGAGGTAGGAAAATTATACCTTTGGGAAACTGAGGCTCAGAAACAGGAAATGATTACCAAAGTCATCAATGTGGTGGAACCAGATTTAAACATAGTTGTTTTTGGGGCACCTGGGTGGCTCAGTTGATTAAGCAACTGCCTTCGGCTCAGGTCATGATCTCAGGGTCCTGGGATCGAGCCCCACATCGGGCTCCCTACTCGGCGGGAAGCCTGCTTCTCCCTCTCCCACTCCCCCTGCTTGTGTTCCCTCTCTCGCTGTCTCTCTCTCTGTCAAATAAATAAATAAAATCTTTAAAAAAAAAAAATAAACATAGTTGTTTTTGACTGTGAAACATGCACTCTTTATAACCAAGTATGTTAAAAGCCTACGAAGTTTGTTAAGTATGGTTTTCATGGCTTATGGGTTTTCATGGCTTATGGAACAGCTCTTGAATAAATAACACTTTAATCAAAGAAATATTTATGGTAATATATTTAATACTGAAAAGTATATCTAACACTAAGAGAAAAAATGTTTAAATATCATGGTTTAAGTTCTCAGAGATGTTGTTCCTTCTTTACTGAGAAGAGGGTAGCAGCTCTATACCCATCTGTGTCTTGACCAGTTCTAGGCAAAACCAAAACCAAAACCAAAAACAAAACCCCAAAACATAGACAAAATAGTAACAGTCTTTGTTTCTTTAGCTTAAAATCCTAGCCTGGCTTTTTTCATGATTGTCCTAGGATGACTTTGTGTTCTGACCCAAAGATCTGAACTAATAAATGGAATCTATGTAGAGGAAATATTTGGAAGGGTGTAGTTTGTAACCTAATTTGCTGACATTTTTGAGCTATTTCAGTCGTGTATAGCTATGATGAAACAACTCCCAGTTAAATAAAACTTTGAACAAAGGTGTATTTATGGTAATATATTTAATATTGAAGAGTATACGTAACATGAGTTGATTTCTTTAGCAAAACAAATGGTATTGTATTTAGTGATATGAATTAAGCAACAAGAGAAAGGGTATTGTCAAATTTATCAAGGAAATGAGTTGATAAGTGGAGAGGAGGGGAAAGGTAATGGTATAGATTCTGCAGTTCTGAGAAGTGCCGTCTATTGGCTGAGGCCTCTGACACCCCGCCCCCCCCAGATGGGGTTAATCTCTCTCCACACCTTTGCTAGAGTGTTGGGCCTGCCTTCTGATGAGCTGTGTGTGTGTTTCCCTTCCTCACTAGATTTTGAATGACTTAATGACAGGTACCATGTTTTATTTCATTCTTCTTCTCTTCTTAGTACTTAGCTCAGTGCCTTGTGGGAACATCCTTGCTGAATAAAATGGAATGTTGTGTGTCCATATTCAGATGAGAATTTTAAAATTAATGTGACCTAAAGCCAAGTAAATCATTTGCTTTTTTGGATTATTTGTGCTGTTGTCCAGGCACGGGATATAAACTGGCTGGTGGTGGAACAGTCAGGCTCCAAATTCAAATTCCCACACTTGACTAAGCCCTCTGTCCTGAGAGGGCAGAGGGTCTACAGTGACTCTATTCTTTCCGGTTTCTGTTCCTGGGAATAATGTTTCCGAGGGGAGTTAGGCTGGATGAGGGGAGGCAGGCGCATTTATGCTGAATTCACCTCTTGGACTGATGGCCCTAGACCTTTTTCATGTTACTCCTTTTCCCCTTATAATTTGAGTGCAGATAACAATACTTTCCAGTATCTAGTGTTTGATATCTTTTTTAATTAAGAAGGTATAGATGATTTTAAAAAAGAATTTAAGCAGCATAAAATTGAAAGGAAAACTAAAAGTCCCCATTTCCCCAGTTCACTATTTAACAGTTTCTTCTGTATCCTTATGGAAGTTTTCTCTGTATGTAATATATACTATACTGCAACTAATTTCCCCTGCCTCCACTTATAGTATATTTGGACCTCTTTCCAACATCAGCATGCACAAATCAACTTCAGTCCTTCGGATGACTACATTATACCTCATTTTATGGCCATGGCTTAATATATTTAACCTATTGATAGACCAATCTTAAGTTGTTAGCAGTTTTTTAGTATTAGAAAAAATGCTGCAGTCAACGGCATTGCCTTATATCTTTCCACATTGTAGAAATATATTTGTAGGATAAATTCCCAGGAGTTGGAACTACTGAGACAAAGAGTACCCCTATTTTACATTTTAATAGCTATTACCATGTTGCTCTCTAAAGGGTAGAACTAATTTATACTCCCACCAACAATGTTTGAGAATGCCCATTTCTCTCTACCCTCACCAACTCTGGGTATTTTTTTTTATTAGCAAACTTCCTAGTCAATGTCAGTTTGAAAGGTGGAAGAGATTACTATGTTATTGTTTTATTTGGTATCAATTATAAATGAGCTTGAGTATGTTTTCATTTGTATTTTGGTTATTTGTATTTAATTTCTGTGAACCATTTTGTCACCTTTGCCCATTTTCCTTTTAAGTTGTAGGTTTCAAATTGATTTAAGGGCTTTCCAATATTAAGAAAATTGGGGCTTTGTCTTATATGTTAGAGCTATTTTTGTCTGCTTTACTGCTTTCCTTTCAGCTTGCTTTGGTCTTTTTCCCTCTTCTTTTTTTTTTTTTTCCATGGAGAAGGTGAAGTTTTTACATGGTCAGATTTATCATATTGCCCTTGTGACCTCTGGATTTATGTCATTCTTAGGAAGGTCTTCCACATTCCAGATACTGTAAAAGCATTCGTCCATATT